GGGCTGGACCTGGACTTGTTTTCCTGCTTCGGCCTCTTGAGTACTGAGAGGCGAGGGCTAGGTGTGTGCGCCAGGCCACGGCCTGCGTGCTCAAGGAGGAGGACTGCTGGGGCTGCACACGTGCTCGTTTATGGAGTGAGGAGTAGAGCTCTAGAGTTCAGAAGAGCAGCGCAACAGTGTGAGCCTGGTTAACTCCAAGATTCGTTAATGTAGGCTGAATTCCGGATCCAGCCAGGAGTGAGAACAGTTTTATTTTCCAAAACTTCTAGATAGAGTAGTGGTAAGGTCCCCGCAGAACGGAGAGGGCAGGTGCATGGTGCTTCCCTTCCTGCGCTTCACAGTGATGCCAAGATTCGTCTGCCCCATCTGTTCTGCCACTGGGTCATCCAAGGTCAGCACAGGCTGTAGATGTCAGCCCCTAAGCATTTGAGCTGCAGACTGCCTGGGTGGAGTTGGGGGCCCTCCTGGGTGGAGTTGCTGCCCCCCCAGGGTGGGGGCAGGGGCTGCTGGGGTGGAGGTGGGGGCTGCTGCTCTCTGAGGGTCTTTTGTGCTTACTTGTCAAGGGTTTCCTTACCACATCTGGACAGCGGCCCAAACCCAATGTGTTTCCAAAAAAATGCATCTTGGAATCAATTTACTACTTCTTGACTAACAATAAAAAGATGAAATATGTTAGAAATATCTGATGTATCAGATGAGTAAAGGTAGGTGTTGTTTCATAAATCCTGTCCCCGGCTGGGTGTGGTGGTATACTCCTGTCATCCCTGCGCTCTGGAGGCTGGCAGGAGGACGGCCAGGAGTGTAAGGCCAGCTTAGTCTATGTAGTGAGTTCAAGACCAGCCTGGACTCCACAGTGTGAATCTGTCTTTTAAAAAGAAATCTTGTCTCAGTTAAGGGTACGATATCTACATTTCTTAATGAAGGTTACGGTTATGCACTTCGAAATCCATGGCTTTCTATTCTTCCTCACTGTGAACTCTTGACATTTCTGTCCTTTTGTTTTGGATGCCCTGAACTCTTGCTTTTTTCCCTCATTTTTTAGATAATTCTCAAACAAACTTTAAAATTTTGTTTTCTTATCCTCTTTATCTTCCAACAAATACTACTAATTTCTCTTAATTTGGAGATCCGTTGTTGAAAAATGTATTGAATGGTGAGTATAAAGATTGAAGATGTCTCCTTATGGATTTAAGAATACACTGTAATTTTCAAACTGTGTGTTGAGAAAGGGTAAAAGGACAATGACGAGAAAAATGTTATAGATATCTTTTTATATGAATATTCATTAAGTGTAGTTCTTGTCATTCTGCAATTACTAGGAAGCTGCTGCCAAGCAAAAGACACTTCTGTCAAAGAAAAAATTCTTTGTAGAAAATAAAGACAAAAGATGGTGATTTTGTATTTTAAAGAAATTGAAACATCAGACATACACACTTTAGGTATGTTAAACTCTTGATGTACGTAGTGTTCTTTAGATCCATGATATATGGGTCCAGCTATTAAACCCAACACTAAAACAGCTCAGCAGTAAATTTACAGTTTTCTGTTAACATTTTTAGAATTGCTTTTATTGATTTGTTTAATGATAACAGGGATGCTATAGACTTAATCCGTAATTAGCAGTGCGGTTTATAGTTACTGAATATGACGTTCTAACAACTTCAAGTATAAATATTTAGTAGGGCATTTTAATAATTTCTGCTACAGATGAGGCCACACCACAGGAACAGTACAGAAAAACTGGAATGTAAGTTATAATAAGGAAACAAATCCTGTATTGGCACTCCCCAAGCAGTTGCTCCTTTGCCCAAGGCATGTTAAGAATGAGATGGCCCTGGGAAAGTCAGGTGTTAAGCCTAATGAGTACCTGCAGAAACCTTTAATGCAAAGGAAGGGAACAATTTAGTTTTTATCAGATGCTTTTTTTTGGTTATTGCTGAAGGGATTTAAACAGCACCAAAGTAATTGCGGTTGTGGTTGTTCAAAGTGGTTCACAAATTGTGGTCTCTAGGCTCTCGGCAACCCCATCATTTTGCAACTTATTAGAATTCCCAGATCTTGTTCCTGCCCTAGATCTCATGAATTAGAATCTCTGGATATGGGGCTCCCGCTTTTATTCTTGCAAACTCTTAAAGTGAGTCCGATGCACACTGAAATGTGAGAACCACTTTGTACTCCTCAATAAGCTGTTATGGTTTGTATTTGTCCCCGCAAAGCCTCATGCAGTCATTGAGGTGCAGTTCTCCAGTTTGTGATTAATTCATGAACCAAGGCTGGGATTATGGGTCTGAGTGCTGCTGGGATTACGGGCCTGAGTACTGCTGGGATTATGGGGGTGAGTGCCACACCCAGCCTGGGGTGGAGAGCCAGAATGTAACGTAAGAGAGACAGAGAGGCAGACTTGCTCTCTGTTGCCCTTGTTGCTGCTGCCCCTCCCTTTGCTCTCTGCTCGTTGCTGCCATGCACTGCTGTCCTCTGCCGTGTGCCGCTCTGCCTTGGAGCCAGCTGAGTATGGACTGAAACCTCCAGGAACTGAACTAACTAAACCTTTCCTTCTTTCATTTTGGGTGTCTGGTATTTGTCTCAGCAATGAGAGAAGAGTAACTGAGACAAGCTTAAAAGTGCAGGGACCGGGGTGAGCCCACACAGTGTATGGGATGGAGGGCATATTTCTTTTTCTACTGCTGTTTAATCAGTTACTAGCGATTTAGCAGCTTACAGAAACGCGCAAGTGTCATTTTCACATCCTAGTGTTCTTGGGGCAGGGCCAAAACTTGGGTGGGTCGCCTGGAGGCTTTCTTTTGTAGCCCTGAGGTTCTCTTCCAGGCTCTTAGTAACTTACTCATCACTAAGACAGAGTACTCAGCACTAGTGATTCCAAGGGGGAGAGGTTTATTTTGGCTTTCAGTTGGGAGGCGGTTCAGCCCATCATCAGCTGGCTCCAAGGCAGGGTGGCCCCGCAGCCGGGCGCGGCCGGGCGTGGCGTGGAGGAGCAGCTCATGGTGTGGCCCATGAGGAGCAAGGAGGAGGCAGGGAGGAAGGACGAGGTGCGCTCTTCCCGCCTTGCCGCAGTGGCTCAGGGTTATGGGTTTTATCTAGATGGCCCCAAGCCATGTATGTAGTCATAGGTGGGGCTTTGGGGAGGGGCCTGGATCTGCAGTGTGAGCGGGGGAGCGAGGATGCTGTGCTAGGACCGAGGTGTGAGTGCTGCCCACCCTGAGCGTGGGAGCGCGGATGAAGTACAGGGGACAGAGGAGCGTGGCTGCTTGCTTGTTGCTTGCCTCCTTCTGCCTTTGCAAACTGTTTCTCCTCTTCGAACCTTTCCTCCTTTAACTTTGGGTGGTGGGGTTTTATTCTCAGTAATGAGCAAATTAAGGCACCCTCCTGCTCCAGGCTTCAACTCCAGACATCTCTTCGGGTTATAAACTCCTCAGAGGACACTTGCTGCTGAATGTCACGCTCCAGGATCCAGTCTCCTCCCACACGCCCCGCCTCGGAGCACACTGTGCTTTGTGGGGACATCTGGATGTAAACCATCGCACAAACTATTGTGGTTGTTGGCAAAATTCAGTTCCTTGAGTTATAAGACTGAAGTTCCCCTTTTTGCTGTGACAGTCTGATGTCGCTCCTATCAGACCCTAGCCTGCAGGTGCTAGCAGCTCTCTGCCCTGTGGCCTCTGCCTGGCTCTCCCCACAAGGTGACTTCATGAAGCGGGGGTGGGTGGAGAAAGGTTTTGGTCTCTGGCGGCGTCTGGTCCTCATCAGCCTTCCATACACCAAGGGCAGTCTCCTTTGTAGTTAACCTCAAAATTTACTGCTCTGAAGCCTCAGTCACATCTGTAAAGTAACACGTTTAGCTCAAGCCAACAGCTCAGGTCCAGGAAACCAGGCTGTGTTCCAGCTGAAGTCCGTAATTTCAAAAATACTTGTCCAAAGTCTTCGTATCAGAGAAACGTCTGTGGCGCAGTCGTGTGAAAGCGATTGGGCCAAATAGATTAAAACGCAAGTTTGGAACAAGCTGTCTACCACCTGCCCTTTGACTGGAGAGTTTAATAATGCCAGCTCTGTAGTTTGCTTTTATTCTTGTGTCACGGACCTCCGTTGTGCAAGAAGCAGGACTTCGGTAGCGGTCATCTTTCCAGCCTGGATCCAGAGTGATGACTCCCGGGGACGAAGCCCAGCTGAGCGGAGGCCGGGAGAGCCCAGAAGGGCCTCGCAGAGCTGGCTCGTACGCGCGGGAGGCAAGAAGCAAAGGACATGTTGTGAGTACTGAAGCGTTGGGATCGCTTGTTACTTCTGGAGCAACAAAGCTGACTGTTACAGGTGTCTACAGACAGAATGAATTATTGTTGTAGAGCCGCTACCCAGGCGGCAGCAACACATCGCCAGCATCTGCGGCTACCCTGTGCTTGTTCAAACCTGTAATTTTCCCGATTCCCAAGGTGAATATCCTCATACCATAAAAATTCTGTGTCCTGGTGTTTGAACTTCTGGAAGCAGAACTCTTGCTCTGCTTTCTCCTTAGCTTTGCCTGATCCTCATCTTTCACAGATAGCAGATGAAGTATGTGTTCTTCCATTGCCAGGAGGGCTGGGGAGATAGCTCAGCAGCAAAAGTACCTGTCAGACAAGCACAAGGTCCCGAGTTCAATCCCCAGTACTTCAGAAAAAGGAAAAAGAAAACGTTGCCAGCAGCTCGGTGATCAGCGAGAGTCTCAGGACAGTGACCCCTGGAACCTATCCTTTGGGTCAGGACCTCACGTAGGCGAGTTAATTAGTGACATGAAAAATCATTTATGTTCCTGAGATTTTCACAATAGCACACCATCTTGTTACTTGGTGTCAACACTAGGCCGTGTGTCATTTGGCTGCAAACTCACCCGTCTGCAGTCACTTACCTGCTGAGAAAGACTCCTGAGTGAGTTTCCTTGTAAAATGGTCCGTTAGGATAACTGTATAACTTTAAAAATACTACTAGAAGTTGAACATAGGGCTTTTGCCTACCTTGTCAGCCTTTTAAATTTTGTACTCTAGCGACAGAGTGTCACCAGATCATCAAATTGCTCAGATTGGGCTTAAATTTACAGGTCTCCTTCCTTAACCTTCTAGAGTGCCAGGATGACAGCCACATGCCACCACATCAGATTCAACATATTCCGATCCCCTCGCTCATCACAGTAAAGCCTTGCCGCCACCTGCCTCTGCACTCGTTGGCTTCCATGGAGTCCTGGGCAAACCCAGCCTCTCCACAGTAAGAAATGAAGTCCTACAGCATGTGCTCCCTTGTGCTTACTGTTTTTTTCCTCAGCACCATGATTGTGACATTTATTCATGTGGTTTTATAAATATTTTTTCAATGCTTTGTTTTATTTTAAATTACAAATATACTATAACCATATTTCAGTGGTGTCACAGATTTTCTTAGATGGAAAATTATTATTCCTGCCTGAAATTTCTTAGTGTTGTCTAGCTATGTGACTTCATCTTTTAATATTTATTACTCTTTTGTTTTGGTTTTGTCTTTCTGAGACAGGGTCTCACAGTGCACCTCAGGCTGGCCTTGGGCTCACTTTGTACCCAGGCTGGTCTCGAACTCATAATGAGCCTTCTGTCTCAGCCTCCCAAGTACTGAGATTACAGGTGTGTGCTACCATGTCCAGCAATAGGTACAACTTTGAGTAGTTTTACTATGTTATGTATCAAGTGATTAAAGACAACTGAATTTTGTGTTTTCTATGTGCTAGGAATTAATTAGCATTTTATACACTGTATCCAAATATTCAGTGACTACCTTGTACTCAATGGGTTCCCTGTGTTTTGTCGAGAGTATGTCTTAGGAAATAATCTTGTATTAGTTAGTATTCTCCAGAGAGATAGAGCCAGTGCGACACAGAGATGGTGTACAGCTAATGACAGCTCATTTATGGTGGTGCAGAAGTGATACCCACTGAGAAGGAACGGTGTGTCAGAGTCTAGGTTTTGATATTTTCTTGCACTGCCAGTATACATCTAACACTCTCGTGAGGTGCGGACAGCAGTAGTAGGACACAGCTGCCAGTCGGGCCTATGACCGCAAAGGTAAACGACCAGTGCTGTCCTTTACCAAATCATCAGATTGCCCAGATTGATGATTTTAAGCTATGCAATACCACCTATTAGGTATGTAATTTTTCATCTATGTTTCTAATTTTTGATGAAATTATCAGGATAAACCCTGTATGTCAGTCAAAAGAGGAACCTGGATGGATAGATGGATAGATAGATAAGCACCTGGATAGATGGATGGAATAGACAGATGATAGATAGATAGATAATAGACAGACAGACAGATGATAGATAGATGCAAGGGAATTTATTTGGAAAACTGGTTCACGTGATTATGTGGTTGAGAAATCCCAAGACAGACTACTGGCAAGACTTTGGGATGCCGGATACGTGGGCCTGCAAGCCTAAGAACCAGAGGAGATAATGCCTTAATTCTCAGTCTGAGAATTTAGGAAACTTTTGGTATGCGTTGGATTCCCAAAGTCAGAGAACCTCCAGTGCTTATGCTCAGGAATAGAAGGAAGAGTCCCAAGTTCCAAGAGAGAAAGAACCTATCTTTTTCCTTGTTTTGCTCTGTCTGATTCTCCAGCAGTTGGGTGACACCTGTCCACGGTGAGCCTGCGTCTATAGTGTGCCAGACTCCTTACCTCCTTCATGGAGTAGTGTCCAATTTTCCGTGGGTAGTTTAGATTAATTACCCCAATCAAACTAAGTCCCTTAGTAGCCTAATCATTCAGAGGCAGGAAGGACAACATTTTGCCTCTGGGATTTAGAGTCTTAGGTTAGCAGAGGATAATTCATAGGAAGAGAAAGCGTTTGCTCATAAGTCACTGAGAGCAATGGTAAGTGGTAGGGCTCCAACTTCCACTGCTCGACATTTAGACATGTGAAGCGTGGCTACAAGAGCAACAGTGCCGTAACTTGGAACTGACTCAGAACACTGGCAGCCTTCTAGGGAACCTCGTCCTACCCCTGCAAAGCAGTTCATGCATTAACTGTGTTCAGACAGCCATTTGGTTGGACCATCAGAAGAGTTGTTTTAGCGTGATTGCAAGTATGGTAAGTCCAGAATTAGGTGAACGTGAGAAGTTGAACTCACTTTTTTTGGATGTGAAGTGAATTCCTTGGTCAGAAACAGTGTGTTAAATATTATCTTGAGGCATAATTATTCTGTAGATCCATGGGTAGCGGTTTTGGGCAGAAGCCTTTAGTATAGGAAAGGCAAATACATGTTTATTCTAGTAAAGATAAAATGCTGGTCTTCTGCAATGGAAGGAATCCAGCAGCACCTGTTTGTCTCTAGAGAAGGGACTGATTACCTTGGGATGCTGGGCATGTGGGTCTGAAATCCTTAGAACCAGGACACCATATCATGGCCTCAGTGTCGCTCGCTCATTGCTGCTGGCCTGAGATGATCGATAGATGCAAGGGGATTAGCAAGGCCGGGATGGCCTTGGTGAGGGGACTTCATGATGCTGAGACCATGAATCAGTTCCATTATGCCACCATAACCACTTTGATCACGTTGGGCCGTGACAAGAATGGCCAGGGCAGGAAGCTGAATGATATTTACAGAATGGCCCAAGTATCCACTTGATTATTAAACACTGGCTGCCTCTGTGGAGGTCACCCTTCGGTGAGCATTCTCCTGGGGCACAAATGTCTTCACACCTTCTGCTCACTCAGAGAGCGTCCTTTGTCCAGAACACTTGGGACAAGAAGCATTTTGAAGGTTTTTGTGTTTAGAGTATTTCCATACAAATACATATGCATATGCATAAATTTAGGAAGGGGACCCAAGTGTAAACATGAAATAAATTTGTGTTTCATATAATTATACAAACAGATTAAAGTTAACTTTGTTCAATATTTAAACAATGTGCATTAAATGAAGTTTTGTGACATCAGATTCGCACTTAAAAATTTTGGATCTTTGAAACACATCAGGCTTTTGCAGTGGGACATCCCTGTAATCCTAGCACTCAGGAGCCTGAGGCACGAGGATTGCTGTGGCTTCCAGCCCAGCCTGGGGTACACCGTGAATTCAAGGCCAGGCTGAAGTGCATAGTGAAACCCTGTGTCAGACAGAGAGAAAGAGAAAGGGACTAAAAGAGGGAGGGGAAAAGGGAGAGGGAGAGAGATTGCCGATTGCAGACGTTCTGGTTCAGGCTGCTTAGCTTCCCGCCCTGAGGAGCTCGCAATACAAGGAGCTCATTATCTGTTGGAGTCCTTTAATCTAGGTTTGTCAGCGATTTGCAGGTGATCAGTGCATTCTTCAAAATCTTGAGGCTAAATCTTGTGTTTTCCTAATACCTTCTTTATGTAGTCCTGCAGGTGTTCGGTTTACACTGAATTTTGTTTTGGGTTCAAGAAACTCCTGTGTCAGTCTTCTAATGAACACTGCTATATTTTTCTACCTGGCTAATATTTAACTCTTAAGGTATTACTGAGTGTTGTATAGTAATGATTTAAGAGTTCAGTTAATTTTCACTTCCATGTATATAAACCCTTTCCAAAGGGTCATGAAATGACAATGCCATTATCGGTATTACAAGGTTTATGTTTTCCCACTTTGACAATCCAGGAATACCCTCTTGATTATATCCACAGTTTTGCTGTTTGTTTTCTGCTTTTTTTAAACGCCCTTGGAGCTGAGGGTTTTCTCCAAGGACAGGAAACAAAATTTAACACGTGCTTTAGGCTTCTCTTTATATTCTCAAGTATAGTTTACAGCCTCAAGCACGGTTGTTCTTACTTACACAACTACCTCTTGTGTTCTTTTTACAAGATAAGATTGTTCCATTTTTAAGTTCACACACCGCTGGCTCTGTATCTTTGCTGCAGGCCTTGGGGATAGGTTAAAGCCTCTTTGTGCTGCGTTATTTACTGTGTCGCTGCCTTCAAAATCACAATGAATATGTTGAAATTAATAACTCTTGAAGTGTGCGGTGATGGTGTTTACAGGCAGTTGTGGAGAAGCCCCATTGTATTAATAGAATGGGGATGCTAGTCAAATTAATACGGTGAATGAGAATCAAGTGGTGGGCTGACAGGATTTTAGCCTTGAAGTCTAGGGGAAAAAAGAAGATACATGGTTAGAAGACATGGGTAATAGCTCACGTGCATATGCGGAAGCCCTTATTTCAGTGTCAGCGCTGAGCAGAGGACAGCAGGCAAATGAACCTGAGCGTGCGTTCGATTGACTGGCTTCTTAAGAAGTAGAATTAGCTGTTACAGGCTTTGCAAAGAAGTTCTGGCAAGCGCGGTGAGAGGGTGGGCTTTAATGGAGGTAATCCTCTAGGAAACCACTCCTTAGCAGTCAGAAGCAGGAAAAAGCAAGAGAAACTTGAAATAAGCCTGGCAAATCCTTTTCTAACCTATTGTCTCCATTTAATAGATACTTCAGGTCTGGATTGCACTTGTTCAGTAGTCACGCTAAGAAATCCCGCTCTTCATGTATTTTCCATTTACCCTCATCCTACCTGACTAATGACTACTTTTCACCTATCAGCTATGCGTAAAGCCGCTGAATGGAATTATGGGGTTGAGCCCCGTTCAGGGACTGAGGATAATGGATCTGTAGTGAGTGCGACTGCCTGTTTTTTGTTTTTTTCTTTCCTCAGAAATGTGTGACTGGGTTTCTCTCCCACAGGTTTTGATCCTATAGATCTGGAAAGAACCCGGGAAACGGCATTTTATCAAGCTGTACCAGCAATTATGATGCATTAACAAGCCTGAGATCATTATGCTCTTGTCACTTCAAAATTAATTTCATAGAGATTTTAGAACAATAAGGCAAGTATATAATTTTTATTATTTTATG